ATCTGACTGACACGACACGCTTGAATTGCATCGATTGTTTTCAATAAAGACAATCCAAGGGAAAGCTGTCGAAGAATGACACGGGGAATAACCCACCTATCGATGAAAAATAGGTGGGGTGATCTGCTCAGTATCAAAGGTTCGATGGTCCCAAAAGATTGTCTATCCAATCGCTACCTAATTAACTTACTAATTGTTAACATTAGGTGATGCGACATGTGTGAGATGGACATTAGGATGGATTAGTGTGTCCATGGGTCAGAGGTTAGAATCAGTAGTACTACTCGTAGACCAAGCTTGCTGTAGCTCAAGTGGTTATGTGTGGCAGCCATAACCCAGAGGTCACTGGTTCGATACCCGGCGGCAAAAGTTAAACCTTCGGGTCCTGGTGTTTGGGGTTCACCAGCACTGTCCTGCCAGACAGTGACGTCCCCCATTTTGTGTCCATTTTGTGTGTCAACGGAAAGCTGTGTGCCACACCAGAGATCCCGTTATAGGAACGGAACATGGGAACGGAACATGGGAACGGAACATGGGAAAGGAACATGGGAAAGGAACATGGGAAAGGATTTGCTGCATTGATGGGACGGGTAGCATGAAGAATGGATCGGAAGGATGAGTAGCAACGGTAGGATCGAGTTGGCACTTAAACATAATACACTTTTGGTTTTGCTACTTCGACCAACAGTCATCTTCACTTCAACGCTCTGCTAACTTTAACACTAATGACCGGTCGAACTATTGCCGCGTGTTTTTGGCCAAGCTGAAAAAGGTCGTAGCACTCAGATTTAAACATTTCTTTGTAATTTTTGAAAGTGAGTTCAATTGCAAGATCAACGTGCTACGCACAGACGGTGGAGGCGAATACAAGACGTTGGATGTGTTTTGCAAGACTACGGGAGTGTCACGTCAAGTGAGTGAAACCAAGAACCAAGCCAGCCACGTCAAGGCTGAGCGAATGCATCGTCCGATGAAATAAATGGTAGGAAGCAGGTTATTTCTTTAAGCCTGCCGTTGTTTCTCTGGGGGGCTGCTGCTGAATACGTGGCTTACATCCTGAACAGGAGTTGCATTAAGTCAAATCCTGATGGTTTATCACCCAGGGAATTTTTGACAAAGAAGGAACACATTTTTAACAACATCGTGGTGTTTGGTTCTGCATGCACGGTCCATGTCAACGCCAGACACAAGTCACTTCGAGAGCGCGGGAAGGTGGCCATAATATTGACAAAACACGACGAGACGAAAGAATATAAGGTGAACACCCCGAAGGACAAGTAAGTTGGGGAGACGTGACACAAGCGAAACATTCAAAGACCGACAGACGAGCACAACGGGCAGCTCAAGTATCACTCTAAAGAGGCTATCATTAGGAGGCGATGTATTACGATAGCCAGCACAATGTTCAAGTGCAACCAAGTGCTTAAAATTAAACTACTAAGATTCGTAAAGGCGGAAGGTACGGTGGACAACAGAACGACACGGTACGTGGTCGAACAGCAAAAAGCAGGATAACAAACCTGCATTGCAGGCCCTGCTGAGCGATACAACATGTCAAATGCAGTTATAGCACAAGATCCGGAGAATTCTAATGAGTCAGGCAAAAGCGACCATCTAGAGCAGTGGAAGGTTGCCATGACCGAGGAACTGGACGTTTTGAAATCGAACGACATTTGGGAGATAGTGGTGCCACCTGAAGTTGCGCATGTCCACACTACAAGTGGGTGTAAAAGACCAAGAACGATGCGAACGGAGACATTAAGCAGTGCAACGCCCGTCTGTTTGTTGGTGGAAACAAACAAGTTTCGGAGTGGATCATACTTTCACGTTCGCGGCCGTCATGGACTTGGAAACAGTGAGGTCGATCCTGGTGTTTTAAGACGATGGAACGTACCAGCACGCCGTAAATAGACGTACCTAAAGCGTATGTCAAGGTGGAAAAGCAGAAGCACCTGAATATCGACATGAAGGTGCCAAAAGAAATGAATCTGGAAACAAAAGAGTTGGAAAACCTGGGGGCAAGGTCACCAAGTGATACGGCACTACTGTTAAAGAAATCACTACATGAACTTAAGCAACCTGGGCGGCTATGAAGCAATCTTCTTGGTTATTAGCTGCGACGAGGTGAATTTCAGCAATACACGACGTGCGTTTGCCTGTGCTACAAGTACAAAGGCGACACATGTACAGCGGTCGGTGTCCATGAGAATAACCTTTTGGTCACACGCACCAATCAATGCGCTATCGAACGGTTTTTTGCTGGTATTAGTTCCTTGTGTATCAAGAAACTCTGTTTCGTGAACAAGTTTATAGGATTTCGGATTCAGTTGGACAGCTCATATGGATACGTTCTTGATCAAGAGGTCACGATTGACCTCTTGCCAAAGAAGGTTGGAATGGTGTCAGCAAACGGAGTGCTGACCTCTATTACATTCAAGTGCAATATGGATAATGAGAGCGATTTGCACTACCTACCTGCCAAAAGCGCAAGGGGTGAACCAAGCGTGAAGTCGTTTCAGTCGCTCGTGGAACGTTTTCTATGGATTGCAAGATGTACGCGTCCAGACACATGCTTATCAGTGCACAAGTCCATGAGACAGACGCACAAGCCCATGTACAAGGACCGGAAGACAGCCAAGCGTACTGTGAGATACTTGAAGTTGTCGAAAGACAAACTAATGCAAATTAAACAGCGTTGGACCAACAGCGGAGGAAGTGCAAAACAAGTGTTGATCAATGCTGATTTCGCTGCCAATTAGGCAAACCCTACGTCCTTGTCGGGGTGTGTACTAACTATGGATGGTGCTTCTGTTCTATGGTTGTGCAAGATGCGATCAAGGCTGTCGCTAAGATGAGATTATCTCAGCGTCGCAGACTGGACGAGATCTACTAGACACGAAAGAGTTGATGTAATGACTTCAGTTGCGTGTGCACATGCCTATGCCGATGTGGAATGACAATCGAGTAGCTATCAAGCAGCTTGAGTCGGAAAAGAGTACGTCAAGCGCCAATCTTGCGGATATAAGTTTCAAATATATCTGCCGAAATGCACAAGCAGGCATTGTGGTGCCGATATTCGTCAAGTCACAGGGCATGATGGCGGACAAAAACTCACGAAAGCGCTGCCGGTACCAAGAATGGAAGAGCTGCGAACGATGTTCAGGTTGAATTCCGCTTAGGCTTACACCGAGGAAGAGTGATAGAGACAAACAAGCTCGGCAGGATCAAGTTTCATGGGATATACCAAGTGACGGGCTAACCTGATTGGATGGTGGTCAGACCAGGTGACATGTAAGACCAAGAGGAGACGATCAAACAGGTGGAGCAGGGGGAGACAGGGTGATGAGTTGAAAGATAGGAAAGCGAGCCGACAACACGACGGTTAGGGCAAGACAATGCATTTGAAATGTGTGACTGACGTACGAGAAATGTAGGAATGACGGATACCATCAGGCATGTACATGGTCAAGTTGCAGTGCAGTTACGGTGCATGTTGTAGTGCAGATAAGGAGATGTTTAGTGCTAAAAATATTTTACTTTTACTTCTAACTGCCTTTGCACAAGTGCAAACCCAAGCTTCTTAAACTTACGTTCTTTTCTTTTTACCTTTACTGCGTACTCTTACTCCATATAGCAATTTTTCTCAGCACGCACGTGCACGTGAGGCATACAGACACACTCACACTTGAACTGTCAGCACTGCAAGGTTTATTCAGTTAGCTGAAATTAATTTACGCGTCACAAGCACCTCTTCATTTGGACACGAGTGTGAAGTCGCTTTCATGGATACTGCAAAATTGTCAAGCACGGTGTACATTTTCTACTTGGAGCAAATCTGGTTTGGTGTGAGATAGCACGCGAATCCAATCAAAAACATGACATGTGTAAAAATAATAAGCGTAATCATCTTGTAGTTAGTACTCAGGAAAGAAAGGAGAGTAGGCGAGTTGGTTATTGCATTCCCCTGCTTTCGTCAAGCGTAAACTGTATGCTTGCGAGAATGCTGCAGGATAGTCCTGTTCTATACACCACAATTCTTTTAGTCTAGTCAGAAGGGCACGAGAACCTCCGCATACCGACGGTATGAATCGTAGCCGAGTCTATACGGTCCACATGCCGTAGTTCTCCTTGTAAACCTTTCAAATGTGACGATGCGGCCCATTGAAAAATGTGGAATCGTCTAAGAGGGAGACATAGTCAGAAAGACAATACTGCTACCTCTCTACATTAGATGACTCATTACGTGACAGAGGCGTCCCTTAAAAAAAACCAGTCCAGTCGTCAGTCAATTTGTCAGTTTTAATGCATATTACGTGACGTGAGTCCATGGACCGGCTGCAATGTAGGGGTCATTTATCCGCAAATGTACATGGAATCCGCTGTAAGAACTGTTTGTCGTCTGGGTATCCCACCACTTGTGAGACCACAAGTGTAACGGGGCACCCTTTGTTTTGGGGTGCCCGAAACTTCCCGTTTACTAGTACGTGCAGAGGAAGGTAATCAACGTATACAGCAAGATTGAGTAAAAGGTAAAAAGTGAACTGTAATTAATAAAGTTAAGCAATCAAAATAACTTCAGTCACTATCTAGCTATATTATACTACGTCGTCGTATGACGACAACCTGCTCACCACTCATTGCGCGCGTCTAGCAGCGATTGGTGGTAACCTTGGCTGATACGTCTTTAGCAACCAATCTTTGAGCTGCACATGAATATTACCCTCCAAAGGGGATAATGTTCTTTCGAAATTATTCATCTCAGATAGTATTGGCAGGGAATTGTCACGCTAGACAATCTCCCTATTGACACCGTTTGGTGCCAATATCATGTAACAGATAACCCCGTTACATCACCCTCTCCCTCCTTAACCATCAATCACCCGTTGATTGAATTTAACTGATTGGGACAGGGTAACCACCGTGGGATCACTCTGGAAAGGGGAGCAACAGTTGGTCAAATTCCAACTCATTTGCCAGTTCATCGCATGGTGTCAAAGTCCATGCGATGTGCTGCCGAAGCAGCAAGAAAAGCGGTTGCACGCATGCTTGCAGCCGAAGAGAATTCTTCTTTTGCTTCAGCAGCAGGTGGTCCTTCGTCCGCTGTCGCTATTCAGCAACAGGCGGTTCCTGTTGCGAACAGTCCACGTGGTGAGTCATCACGTGCGACAGGTACATCTGCTGCGTCTGCAGCGGGTACCTCGAATCTTAATCAAGACGAGTCTGTGATAGAGCTTATCAATTCCGGCGAGTCGGATGATGCATCCGTCTCGAAGGCGACACCTCACGCCTCCGGATCATCTGGGGTGGACCACACAAGAGCCAGATTGTCTGTCCCTGGGGAACGTGGCGGCATCATGTCCAGGATCTCCGGACCGAGCGATTCAACCGACGAATCCTCGTCTCACGCGAATCCTCGTCTCACGCGAATCCAGCTGACGATAAAACGCGTGGGGACGGTGGTGATGCACCTGTACATCACCACTAGCGAAGTAATTCGAGAGATCGGGCTGCCACTGGTGTCATTGCTCATGCTGACATCCCTCAAGAGGCCAGGGACCAAAATGTCCTGCGCCATTGTCCTCAAGTGAAGTCTCCTTGGGAACCGTCATCCAAAAAGTTGGACCGGTTGGCCGTCAAATTCCGTTGTTCAGCTGTAGGAGGATCTGTCCTCCTAATTCCAGCACGGAAACTATCCGCGATCAGGAAGATTTCTTCACAGATTAGTTCTTCAAATATCGGTGGTACAATGACAATCGTGATCGAGACAGCAAGGCCTTGGTGCAAGGATGGACCGCCCTTATGCACAACATCGAGTGCATTAGCCGTGAGACCTGGCTCGGTAAACTCGGTGCAGCTCGAACCAGGTATGAGAAGCGTAACCCAGTCTATATGCAACACAAGTTGCACCGCCTGTCAAGTGAGGCAGGATTGTCCTGTCTTTCGTGGGGTGGTTCGTGTCCAGGTTGCCTGGACAGCTCGAATCGCGCCCCTAGGGAGGCTTGCCTCCCTAATGATCCCTACTGGAGGGCGCGCATCTCTTCTGAGATGGCCGAAGGGAATGACACTTTGCAATCCCTATACTCGCGTTCGGGGAGTTCATTTTCAGACGGCCCATCTTCGAACATAGCGGGTTGGTCTCGTTACAATGCTCGACGCGACCAATTATATCAACGATCAGCTGGGCACGAGGCTCCCAGCTGTCCTTGGCCGGTGGATAGCCACGCCAGCGGACGAGGTCACTCGTCCGGACGCCATTTATGTCGCGGTGGTTCAAAATACAAACCACCAGAGAAGCGTTGACCACCACCAAAATCCATTATTACATGTCATGGTGACGGAAACACCTGATCAGGCTCAAGGGTCAAATCAGCTTGATGTTCAAGAGCTGAACCGTGTAACCAGTTAGTCGCACGACGACCTGGATCATGAACAGACTCGGCGTTATGAGCTCCAAGACTTTGTAAAGAATTATTACAATTCCTCTGCGCTTGATCGTTTGAACGATCATGCCGCGTTTGCGCTCACGCAACTTGAGAACAAACGCTTGACTCGTTCTCTTCGTGATGAGCTGGCTGTAGCTCGTCGAGACATCGCTGAGCTGCTTGAACAGGTCGCTTCGCTAGTCAACCAGACTGGCTCGTTGAAACGGGACCACTCGAAGGTGACTCGGCTCTCGACCGTAGAGGTGTTCTTCGCATCTCAAAACGGGATCGTGCTGATAGTACGGGTGGAGAAGTCCAACTTAAAGCGTAGGATGCGTACGCATCTTACGGGGCAGTTCAATAGTGTATGCGTTGCCCATATGGCGCAACACACGAAATGGACCGATATTCTTTGGCAGTAGTTTGCTGCTGCCCACATTGGTCACTGCGTGTTTCGGTATATATTCTGTTAACAGTAAAACTGAGTCTCCTTCATTAAATGAAAGAACATTTGCTCTTCCGTTTTTTTCTGCGTTTCTTTTCTGCTTGTCTAGTGCATCTTCAATAGAGTCTTGAGCGAAGAAAACGACCGCTTCGCGAGTCAGCAGAATTTCCTCTGCTTATTCATCCTTGCTAACAGCAGTGCGCTTCGTGTGCAATGCTGAAAAACGTTGTCTTCACCAGTGAGGGTGTCATCGTCCTCAATGTAGCAGTCATTAACGATGCTGAATTTACCAGCATCATCGTCATCATCGTCATCAGTGTTGATGTCATCGACATCGGCATCCATCACGTCAACACTATTGTTGACGGGTGATGAGCAAGAACCAGATCAATTTGTGTTCGAGCGAGTCCCCCCTTAAACTAGAGTCACACTCTAAGAAGACGGGTAAACGTGGATAGCGTAGGCTATTCACGAAGAACGGTGTATGCGTTGTCGACGCATGCACCGGGTTGTTGATGGCGAATTCCGCCATCGGTATGGACTCACTAAAACTTGTAAACGAGTGGAAACACACTCGAAGTATCTCTTCGAGGACGCGGTGGACGCATTCCGTCTGATCATCTGCTCCGGGATGGTCAGAAGTTGACATCTTTGAACATGTTTTAAGTGAACGGAACACCGATTCCTAGAACTCCGCTGTGAAGCGGGGGTCCCATCAGAAACAAGTTTACGGGATAACCCGTGAAGTCAGAAGATAGCATCAATGAAGACACGCGCAAACCCCTGGGCTGTGATTGACCCCGGTACAACAACAAGATGTACCATCTTGCTGAAGCGATCAACAAACACAAGAATACCAGTATTCTTGTGAACGTCTTTTAGAAATCCGAAGACGAAGTCCATCGATACGGACTGCCAGCACTCTGCCGGAATCGGAAGAGGCTGCAATGGTGCGCGGGATGAAGGACTAGGCTTCACCCGTTGACAAACATTGCAAGCGCGAATGTATTTGCGCACAAACTCATACTGTCGGGGCCAGTAGAAGCCACGACTCACCATGAGGTAAGCCATTTATCTACCGCAATGCCCACGTGTTAGGGCATCGTGACACTCATACATGATGCGCAATCGCAAATCATTATGAGCCGTAACGACGACACGAGGTGTGTCTCCGTTGACTGCTGTACAGAAGTCCAACACGAACAGAATATTGATCGATCGAAGAGCGGTATGGGACGACAATCTTTTCAAAGCTTGACTGCATGGATTAACTACGTAATCTATCAATCGCAGAAGACACTCATCTTCTGCGTATGCTTTCCGCACTTCTTCGAGCGGATTCGACGACGGAACACTCGCTATTAGTGTTGCTACAGTGGGATCACCCCTATTGTTGAGTTGAGCAGTCGGCTCAAACTCGGGCCGATGCGAAAGAGCATCAGCGACGACATCAAGCCGTCCTGGTGTAGACTCGACGGAGAAGTTGTACTCCGCGAAGAAAGATAGCCACCTCGCCATTCGTTGCGAGAGGTGTGGACTGTTTACGGCCATGCGTAATGACGCATGGTCGGTATAAACGATGAAGGGCCTATCTCTGAAGAGATATACCCGAAACTTGGCCAGTGCACATTTTATGGCAAGGAGTTCCTTGTCATGCATTGGGTATTTCCACCCAGCTGTTTGCAGCTGACGCGATTGATAACCGACGACGCGTTAAACGCCGTCTGAGTCGTACAGCATTGACGCGCAGCCTATCGCAAAATAGCTGGCGTCACAGACCACATGAAATGGTATATCCTTGTCTGCAATCGCCAACACAGACGATATTATTGATCTTTTCTTGATACCTCCAAAGGAGTGCTGACACTCAGCACGCCATGACCACCTCTCGTTTTTCTTTAACAGACAAGAGAGATGTACAGGCATCTAGGTGCAGTTGCGCGAGTACTTGTGCAAGTACGCCGCCAAGCTCAGGCTTTTTTAAATTCCCTTGACGTCGAATGACACAGGCTAGTTGCTAATTGCCTTGATCTTTTCCGGATCAGGGCGTACAACATTTTTACCCACGATGTAGCTAAGAAGTGGCATTTTGTTCGCTGCGAACATACACTTTTCGATGTTCGCGAATAACTCATTCTCACGCAGGAGAGTAAGAACCTTCTAAACGTGGATTCTATGAACCTCTACGTCCGTCTTTCCATCCATAGCCCGGCTATGGACGAAGACATCGTCGAAGTAACTCGGTGTAAAATCGCGCACCGATCGCAACAGATTTGTAACATATCTGTTGAATGTTGCAGGGGCGTAATTTAGCCCCTGTAGAATGACTAGCCACTTCCAGAGCATACCACTGGGGGTGCTCACTGCTGTGTACGGGATATCCCGTTCACGCATGAGGATCTAATAGAATCCATCCATCAAATCCATGGACGAAAAGATGGTACTTTTTGCCATACCATCAATGATGACGTCCTTCCTTGGCATCGGTGTCTGAGCTGGTACCGTTGCAGCGTTCAATTTGATGAGCGCGTGCACTATCCGCCACCCTCCTGTGGCCTTTTGCACACAGAAGGTCGGAGAGATGTATGGGGATGTCGATTCCCTCACATGACCAGTTGCTAAGCTATTAGAAAAGGACTAGTCGATAGCTGTGACCTGATTACGAGGCAATGTCCACTGCTTCATGACACAGTGCTTCGAACCGGGTTTCAGTTTAGTCTCACGCCAAATGCCTTTGTATTTGGACAAATCGCATGGCACGGATTCGGGAAAACATCCCTGGTTTCAACCAAATCCTTATATATAGTATTCTTCCTCAAAGACTCCAAGATTGAGACGTGTATCGCTCAATCCGAGTCTTCTCGTCGAGGTCACTCTCATCCATCGTTGAGCTACTGAGAACCAGTTCGTTCTCAGCAACCACTTGTGCCGACCGAATATCGACGACGTACTAGTCCTCTGTGACGAGTACGCAGATCTGCCTGATTTTTTCACGACGCAGATCTCGCAATAATCTTTTAGATTCTACCGTTGGCAACTTGATTACCTCCAAAGCGATTTCGGAGGTATAACCAGATCAAGTGTATAAGTGCCTACACTCGATTCGTCATTAACCAAGACATTCACTGTCTCGGTTATTTTCTTAGAATATGCATCCGTAGGTGGTTGGGGAAACAAACCCTCAACATAACTCTCTCGGGAGTTATCACTCTCAGGAACGCTGGAACTTTCTTCCAATACATGTAATGACTGTAGTTACACTATCACAGTCACGTCCTCTTCGATCGACTCTCTTTCAGTCGAGCGCTCTTGCTCTGCGATCGACTCTCTGTTAGTCTATCTTGCTGAAATGTGTTGTCCATCCTGAGCACCACTAATATCTCTTCTCGGATGCGCCCTTCTTGGTGTGCATCCGTGTTCCAGTCCACTCGATTTTATCGATTGGTGAAACTTCGGCGCAGCCAGTTTCCCTACACAGGTCCGGAAGCTGGTTCCACAGTGTATTGGCCTTCTACACTGTGATCTTGTGCAGTCTTACTAACGACCATACCACAAGTGAGGCCATCGCACTCACTCGTAGTACATCCCCATGATTGTGGACGCTCCAAGGCGTTCATCAGATGGCCACCCGATGAAAAATGGCAGGCATCTGCACGGATCGATCCTGCCAGCTGATCCATGGCCGGTACTTTCTAAGCCATGGCTGACCAAGGATGACATCAAATTTGTCATCCAAAATCTAGTACGATGAAGTCATCATCGTACTGACTTCCTTCTAGCGTGTAGTGGATTCCTAATACGCGTTTATTCACTGTTACGGATGCGCCTGTTGCAAGGCACACCGTCGTCCTCGTTGGAGGGAAGTCACGCTCAACATAGTTGAGCCTACTATCCTCTAGCGACAGGCGTCGAAAACAACTGTTCGACGCCCCGCAGTCAACTAGGGCGCGAGTTGACATACCACTTGTCACTTCGATCTTCAAAGTGATGAGGGATCCTCATCACTAGGGTCAGTAACACACAGCGACTGTGTGTTGGCAGCAATCTTCGTCAAGCGTCCTGCAAAATCTCTTGGCGTTGCTAATTCAGCAGGGTGCTCCGCCCTTACTGACCCTGACCGTTTTTTGGCGGTCCGACTTGCTGTCACGGTTTAGTGACATGGTCGGACCTGCGCCTTGGACCTTTCCTCAGCCAACGGCGGTCACCATGTCCTGTAATTGGACGTGTTGCAGTGCTCGGGACACTACACTCATGAGCGTAGTGCTTAACCTTCTGACAGTGATGGCATTTTGTCGTTCGCTTGTGACTCAAAGAGCGAGAGTTCTCGCTCTCGATGTAACAGAGGTCCAATGGTTCGGGAACTCCTGTATCCTATCGCCTCGTCTGACGATAGTTGTACGAGTTAGCTTGAGACTGTCTCAGACTGAGGTCTTCTTTATCCGCATACGCTATCGCCTTTTCCAGCGTATGGAACTCCTCTTCGAACATGTAGGTCTTCAACGGCCTATCCCCAAGGCCGTAGATGAACACGTTGATGAGCTTGTGCTCATCAACAGGGTTTTCCGTGACGCTACTCGCAAGGTAGCGTTGTTGTTGTGCGTATACGTGCACATCACGCTTACCTTGCGTAAGCCTCAAGAGTGCAGAGCGTTCTCTGAACTCGGCCCTTGGTGGCTCGAGGGTCTCTTTGAGCCGGGACTTCAAGCTCCTTAACGACTCAAACACGTTTGGGTCATGAAGCTTGAGCCCTAAGACCCAAGTCTTTGCTCGTCCTGTCACATTTGACAGGGCGAAGGTGACTTGCATCTCGTCACCCTCGATGTGACGGGCCCTGATGGCGTCGTCTAACTCGACGAACCATCTCAAAAGGGAATCTTCATCGGTTCCCTTGTACCATGAGATATCGATCTTCAAGGTTTCGGGTCGACGCGTGGGCGTCGTCCCGACCATCGTCGGATGAGAGCTTTTCTGTTGTAGCAAGGCTATCTTCTGTCTTCGACAGCAAGTAGCCGTTGTAGGAACTCGTTGATAGCAGCATGTTGCTGGTATCTGCTTAGAGACTCCAACATACCACTGATGGCGGGTTCGCCCATGAGCACACTCATGCGGCCGACTACCTCCCATTCTGAGTCACTCAGATGAGAGTAGCCATCACGTGTGACGTGAAAGCTGTCGTCTCCTACCTCCAACATGTTCATGCTGGATGGAAACTAAGTAGTCATTGGATGGACTACTAAGTACTACCAGGTGCAAGGGGGCACCCTTTGTCTAGGTGCCACGAAACTTCACGTACACTACTACGTGCAGAGGAAGCTAAACTACTCAAACGTCTATATGAGTAAAAAGGTAAAAAGAGAACTGTATTTAATATAGTTAAGCAATCAAAATAACTTCAGTCATTATCTAGCTATATTATACTACGTCGTCGTATGACGACAACCTGCTCACCACTCATTGCGCGCGTCTAGCAGCGATTGGTGGTAACCTTGGCTGATACGTCTTTATCAACCAATATTTGAGCAGCGCATGATTATTATCCTTAGGGGATGATATCCAATATTACCTATCTCGGATAATATTGGCAGGGAATTGTCGCGCTAGACAATATTCCTATTGACACCATTTGGTGTCAATTTCACGTTACGGGCTACCCCGTTACACTGACGTTCTGTGAGGCCAATGACCTTCTGCGCGTCAAATGACGGATGAGGGTGGCGGGCCTGGACGTAGCTCCTGATGTGCGCAAAGCGCGCAGACCGAAAGGCAGGCCCAATGGAAGTTTAGGGTTGATCCCATTACTTTGAGCGGAGACATACACCGGGAAAGCAGTGTTGTGCACATGTACGTCCTATTCTAAGTGGGCAAGTTACAAGGGCATCAGCGAGTATTTTTCAGCGAGTCAATATCCACTTTTTGTCGATATTGAACGGCTGAGATCCACTTCGCTTGCTCAGCACGATACTCCAACTGTTGTCTAAATGTCAAGTCAGGCGTACAGACTCCTCCTGACTTTTTCGTCCGGGCGGTAATGGATCGGGAAATTAGCTCCATGCGGATGTGGCGGGCCGAGTCAGGTTGGCTTTGTAATCCTATTTTGTCACGCGTGGTAAAAAAAAAAAAAAAAAAAAAAACCATTCTAAAAGCGGTGCTGTTACATCATAGAAGCAGTACTGGAGTGATGTATACGGATACATCACTCCCTCTTAAATGCACCGCCGGCAACATTTCCATGCGGAGAAGAATGGTTCCGAAGCATGATCATTGCATTCAATAGTGGCAGGCAGCCTTCAGCAAAAACGTTGAACTTCGCACACACCCTGGCAGCTAATATAGGATCGCACCGTTGGACTCCTTCTCCAGGAGCCGAGCAACGAAGAGAGCTGCAGGTAACAAACAAAACATCACCCTGTTACGCGAACTTTATATTGGGCGTCTGTGACCCCTTCATGACTGAAACGGGTGGGTGCTGTTCAATTATAAGCAGCACTTCCTTTGTGTCGGACATATGTCCACGGTGGAGGATGGATCTAGTGGCGCTGTTCAAGAGCAAGTCGATGACCACGACCTGGAGCTGCCAAGCCGCCTCGGCAACTATGGACTTGTCGCCCTAATCTATACTGGATATCTTGTTTCCACTGTGAATGTATCAACATAAAAATGCCAACTGTTGCTTGCTCGACTTTCATCGATATCTAGGGAGACCGATCCCACAACGCCACAAATATACATCTTTTCACTATTGTTGTAGCCTTACATAACGCTTTACTCAACCTTGGTGAAGTTCGCGTCGAAGACAAGCGTAAAGCTCGCGTGCTGTCTTCTGTGTAGTACTATTCGATTAACACTTGTCATAAGACACCTGGACGATTGTTAGCGAAGACTTTGATGCGGTAGCAGACCACATCAAAAGCTTCGTCCGTTTTCACAAGTAAGTTATAAGCCCGATCAAGTGGACAAAGTCGGTCATTTTGTGGTACGATCGGTTCAAAAGTTGCAGATCCGGTTACACAGTAAGCCGCGCGTTCAATGGCATCGTGCCTGTTCACATATCAAGCTATCCGGTGTCATTTCATACTCTACACGAAGGCATAACGTCTCAACGTTTTATGTTTTACGCACAGGCATAACGCCCCACCGTTTAAGGTCATGCTCGCTGAGACGATACCCGCACCAACCGCACTAGCACTAATAGCTGAATGTGGTGCACCGTTGAGTCGACACAGCTCGTACACTACAACCGAGAGTAGCAACAAACTAGTTGTTGAGAATGTACAGTGTTTGTGTGGCGTAGCTACCTTTGCTCCTTTGTCAGAGGAAGACTTATAGACTCGTAGAGTCTCTTGGTGTTTTAAGCTAACCGGGTATTAACTTAAGGGTCTCAAGTCTTTACAGACTTGGTGAGACTTTACTCTTAGTATCTGAACAAGCTCGTAAGCTTCTAGTCTTGGTTCAGGGGACTAATGACTACAAGAAATCACGTCGCACTAATGCTTAAGAGTACTTAGCCTTAACCCAGGGTTTTAACTCTTGTGACCAAAGACGTCTTAAAAAGACACGTATCAAAAATAGATCAAAAGGGGAACTGAATGTATTTACTAAATTAGAGCAACAGTAAACCTCACTTACGCATTTAACCTTTAAACGATGCCACCTGATCGAATAGTCCTCATCGTAGTGCTTCTTTTGTATCCCACCAGAATTACGTCGTCCTTTGAAGACCCAATTCTAATAGAGACCATCTATCCGCGATCGATACGGTACGTTATTACCACTTCGCGCATGTGATTCAAAAATACGCTTATCAGTGAAACTGATCTCTTTATGAATACATCCTACCAGCGTACCTGGTTATCACAACCGTTCGTGTAATCTCGTTTCAGTTTGCATTGCACAAAGATCGATGCAGCAATCGTAGTGTGGCGCTTTGTCATTCCCACTTTGCGGATGACTGACATCCGCGCGCGAAGACTTGTCGCGTCCACGTTATCGTCCATTGCAATCTGAATACGACTGCCACTTAATTACTGCAAAGGGCGTGTCGAGATGCGTCTTCGTAGCGTATAAACTGTGGAATGTGCGATCCGAGATGTTCAGCTGTGCTTCGGTGCCTCGTCGTTGCATCGAAAGGCGTATTGATTGCGCTGCGAATGGCCTGTGTTCAAACGACCAATGTTTGATGGTTTGAACGACCGAACATGGTCGTCACCACAGAACCTGGAATGACCAGGCTGGCATCGTCTAGCGCTAATTATGACGAGCCTGACCGATTTGGTCGACGACATTGTTACAATCTGGTAAGCGAATCTTGTATGCATCAATCGAGAGCTGATACGACGGAAGCTCTACTCCGCTCCCTTACGAAAAGGTCTAATCTACGACACTCGGGTGCTAAGGGGTGCAAGCCTGTAGGTCTCGCACGCGGCTCTGAGACCACGAGCGGAGTTTGCACTTGTTGTTTCTTGTTTCTTGTAGGTGAAAAGACCATCGTCAACATACGTCTATATACGTTTGCACAAAAACCTGAGGAGCCATCGAGAGTCAGCCCGAACTGTTGTAATCGTCGCGAGTCAGCGCACGTTTGCAGCAAGCAGCTACCGGGACGTGGGCGGCATTGATACAAAATTTTGATCAACGAAGCCACTTTGACTGCATTGCGTCACGAAGTGATGAACCACGTTGATGAGACCAGGCAGTGGTCGTCGCTAAGAGATATTTGGATCTAGCTATGACGGGAGAGCAAAACGTTTTCTGCATTCAATGTCGGTCTTCGGTCGGATGTTTGTCCTCCAAGTGTAACTGAATAAAGAAAGAGCTCGCATGTGCGCGACTACAACGGCGTGATAATTGCGATGATTTAATTCTCACATGAAGAGTGTGGCAAAAGGAGCTGTCAACAGGGATGGAGCTGAGTGAATATCGTCGCTATGCAAGCAACCGAATATTAACTTCATCCCGTTTACAACGATCGAAGCTTGCGGTACGCCCGTTGCGTCACGCCTCCGACGCGACCATTGTACGGGCTGGCGGTCGTGGGTTTTAAAACCACTTTCGCACCACTCTTGAGCGGCTTGGCTGAGATTGTGTTCCCATTCACCATCGGAGTAGGTTTGACTGCAGACCCGATTGCGCCCCCGGCTCCATCAGTGCATGGCTTCCCATCAGCGCCAGCCACGATACCGCGATCTTTCCCGTCCGTGGTGGACATTCCGGCGCCTATCGTAACAACTGCACCTGTATCAGTGGCTCCATTGACCCCGCCATACACGTTGGTGCTCTTCTTGTCATCAGTGGCACCAGCAACGTTTCCGCTCGTACCTCCGTTCGCTGGCTTTCCTGCCTCTGGAACGGCAGCTACACCAGCTGCAACAACAGGAACCGCGTTCTTGTCACCAGCTACCACAGCAGGTACGTCCTTGCCGTCACTCACGGGCTTTTCAGCACCCTTCGTGACAGCTGCGCTTGTATCAGTGGCTCCATTGACCCCGCCATACACGTTGGTGCTCTTCTTGTCATCAGTGGCACCAGCAACGTTTCCGCTCGTACCTCCGTTCGCTGGCTTTCCTGCCTCTGGAACGGCAGCTCCACCAGCTGCAACAACAGGAACCGCGTTCTTGTCACCAGCTACCACAGCAGGTACGTCCTTGCCGTCACTCACGGGCTTTTCAGCACCCTTCGTGACAACTGCACCTGTATCAGTGGCTCCATTGACCCCGCCATACACGTTGGTGTTCTTCTTGTCATCAGTGGCACCAGCAACGTTTCCGCTCGCACCTCCGTTCGCTGGATTTCCTGCCTCTGGAACGGCAGCTCCACCAGCTGCAACAACAGGAACCGCGTTCTTGTCACCAGCAACCGCAGCAGGTACGTCCTTGCCGTCACTCACGGGCTTTTCAGCACCCTTCGTGACAACTGCACCTGTATCAGTGGCTCCATTGACCCCGCCATACACGTTGGTGTTCTTCTTGTCATCAGTGGCACCAGCAACGTTTCCGCTCGTACCTCCGTTCGCTGGCTTTCCTGCCTCTGGAACGGCAGCTACACCAGCTGCAACAACAGGAACCGCGTTCTTGTCACCAGCTACCACAGCAGGTACGTCCTTGCCGTCACTCACGGGCTTTTCAGCACCCTTCGTGACAGCTGCGCTTGTATCAGTGGCTCCACTGACCCCGCCATACACGTTGGTGTTCTTCTTGTCATCAGTGGCACCAGCAACGTTTCCGCTCGCACCTCCGTTCGCTGGATTTCCTGCCTCTGGAACGGCAGCTCCACCAGCTGCAACAACAGGAACCGCGTTCTTGTCACCAGCTACCACAGCAGGCACGTCCTTGCCGTCACTCACGGGCTTTTCAGCACCCTTCGTGACAGCTGCGCCCGTATCAGTGGCTCCATTGACCCCGCCATACACGTTGGTGTTCTTCTTGTCATCAGTGGCACCAGCAACGTTTCCGCTCGTACCTCCGTTCGCTGACTTTCCTGCCTCTGGAACGGCAGCTACACCAGCTGCAACAACAGGAACCGCGTTCTTGTCACCAGCTACCACAGCAGGTACGTCCTTGCCGTCACTCACGGGCTTTTCAGCACCCTTCGTGACAACTGCGCCTGTATCAGTGGCTCCATTGACCCCGCCATACACGTTGGTGTTCTTCTTGTCATCAGTGGCACCAGCAACATTTGCGCTCGTACCTCCGTTCGCTGGCTTTCCTGCCTCTGGAACGGCAGCTACACCAGCTGCAACAACAGGAACCGCGTTCTTGTCACCAGCAACCGCAGCAGGTACGTCCTTGCCGTCACTCACGGGCTTTTCAGCACCCTTCGTGACAACTGCACCTGTATCAGTGGCTCCATTGACCCCGCCATACACGTTGGTGTTCTTCTTGTCATCAGTGGCACCAGCAACATTTCCGCTCGTACCTCCGTTCGCTGGCTTTCCTGCCTCTGGAACGGCAGCTACACCAGCTGCAACAACAGGAACCGCGTTCTTGTCACCAGCTACCACAGCAGGCACGTCCTTGCCGTCACTTACGGGCTTTTCAGCACCCTTCGTGACAACTGCACCTGTATCAGTGGCTCCATTGACCCCGCCATACACGTTGGTGTTCTTCTTGTCATCAGTGGCACCAGCAACGTTTCCGCTCGCACCTCCGTTCGCTGGCTTTCCTGCCTCTGGAACGGCAGCTCCACCAGCTGCAACAACAGGAACCGCGTTCTTGTCACCAGCTACCACAGCAGGTACGTCCTTGCCGTCACTCACGGGCTTTTCAGCACCCTTCGTGACAGCTGCGCTTGTATCAGTGGCTCCATTGACCCCGCCATACACGTTGGTGTTCTTCTTGTCATCAGTGGCACCAGCAACGTTTCCGCTCGTACCTCCGTTCGCTGACTTTCCTGCCCCTGGAACGGCAGCTACACCAGCTGCAACAACAGGAACCGCGTTCTTGTCACCAGCTACCACAGCAGGTACGTCCTTGCCGTCACTCACGGGCTTTTCAGCACCCTTCGTGACAACTGCGCCTGTATCAGTGGCTCCACTGACCCCGCCATACACGTTGGTGTTCTTCTTGTCATCAGTGGCACCAGCAACGTTTCCGCTCGCACCTCCGTTCGCTGACTTTCCTGCCTCTGGAACGGCAGCTCCACCAGCTGCAACAACAGGAACCGCGTTCTTGTCACCAGCTACCACAGCAGGTACGTCCTTGCCGTCACTCACGGGCTTTTCAGCACCCTTCGTGACAACTGCGCCTGTATCAGTGGCTCCACTGACCCCGCCATACACGTTGGTGTTCTTCTTGTCATCAGTGGCACCAGCAACATTTGCGCTCGTACCTCCGTTCGCTGGCTTTCCGGCCTCTGGACGGGTGATTTCACCAACACCACCGTAAGGACCGGTATTTACAATGGCACCGGCACCAACGGTTCCACTGGGGGCGCCACTTACAGGCCTTCCAGAACCGTTTGTGGCTCCAGCACCAGGTCGGACTGCTCCGCCGACTCCACCGTACACATTGTTGGTCACGCGGCCGCCGGCAAGTCCGCCGAGACCAAATGCCCCACCAGAACTTGTGCCGCCGAATGCGTTACCAACGCCTGTACCCCGTCCGAGGATCTCAACTCCAAGTCCATCATGACCAGCACTACGCCCGGTCGGTCTTACACTGGCGACAACTCCACCATAGACCCCACCACTAGGAGCTCCGTAAGGTCCTGCATTACTAGGAGCTTCGTATGGTCCCGCATGACTAGGAGCTCTGTATCCAGAACCAAGCAGTCCAAACGTCTGAGCGACCTCCGCTTCAGCGTTTACGTCGTTGAAGAGCGCCGTGACAGTGAGGCACACAGCGGCAAATTTGCTGCTTGTGAACATTGCTGCAGTTGTTGTTCTTGGAGACAAGGGATGTTCAAATGGATCTCAAACGAGAAGATTTGGAAATGAGCTCGAAACAGTACGTCTCCTTTTCGCAGACCCGTGCATCCTCACCAAGACTGCAGTCAAAGTGCCAGAGATCAGCCGACACGAGCGTATTGCACAGGTGGTAACTGGTGGACGTACATATGATGGCTAGCTTTCTCCAGAGGGATAGATGAGTTCGTGTTTCTTTGCAACAGTCACACGTCAGATGGTCGGGACTTCATGCAGATATAGCAGACAAGATGGATTACCGTTGCTTTGAACAGTCACTCCTCCCATGTTCAAGAATCTAGCTGCTAGAATCGTACCAAAAGCGCGTTTCATGAAAACGCAAGCAGACTGACGAAGTCATGACGATCCTATCATTGAAAAGAAGCGAGGTAGCTTCGGACGTGGTCGGTGTGTTTGAGTCGTTTCACCAGTGTGTGGTTGCAAGCGATAAGACTAGAAGCTTGCGATACCGACATGTCGTGTTTAAGCTGGGAAGGATGTCCGCGTTGTATCGAGTGAAACGCTTGGCGAATTCCACTTCAGCATCGATCATACAAATGTTAGTATGCAAATCTGGAAAAGACGACACATGTTTCGTGGTAAACATCGTCGACCGTGCCAGTAGAATTACCTTATTCTTAACATCTTACTTCTGATCTGTCCCTTGTGCTAGCGTCTCCAACAGAAGGTCTTCGCGTCACCTCTCGAATTTGTCGTGACAGAGTGGCCGAGCGCATAAGAAGACCTCCTAATCATAGAAGCGTAAATATATCGGTGTCAGTAAATAAATCGGTCCCACTGTCGGTCTCAGTAAACGTGTCGGTCTTGGTAAATGTGTTGGTCTCAGTAAACGAGTCGGTCTCAGTAAACATGTCGGTCTTGGCAGGAAAATGGTGTTGTTTGTTGGTGCACTTGTGCATTTGGAGTAGGAAGTAAAAGTTAAATTTATCGAGTGTTAACTATCCTTGGTTCACACTACCACATGTAATTGATGACCACCACTGCAACTTGACCTGGTCAAGTTGCATCTTGCATACATCCAGCGTGCCCATCACCGTATGTCATCCCTGGTCCCACACGACGTCCGCATATCGGTATGCAGGGCTTCAGTCCCATATGCCGCGCCACGTCCCATATGTCGCGCCTTGTCCCACATGTCACGTCTTGTCCCACATGTCAGCTTGACAGCCGATTAGATGAGGTTGCACTTTACCAGTCACAGTTCTTGCAGTCTTCACCCTAAGTTTCCATGACCTGTTAGAAGCAACGTTTTCTAACAAATGGGTGCAAAATTGGCACTAACAAAGCGACGGTGAGTTCAAAAGATCTTCTCCGCATCTTTCGTCCTTCATTTCGTTTGAAAAAGTGGGGATCTCTTGGTGGTAGGTTATGGTATGTTACTTTCGCGTCTCCAGGTACGGAGTCGATCTGACCAATGGTCTACAATATGATTGTCTAACTAACAGCTTTCCTGAACTGGTTTCGTCGTTGGCAAGGCTGAAAGTGACATTTGAGTAAAGTTCTCCCATTTCTGTGACGGAAAAGTTAGAGCTTTTCCGCGTTAGTGCAAACGATAAAGGATTCACGTTCATTGACGGCACAACTGAAAAGGGATGCTGTGAACTGCATAAGTAAACACGGTCGTGTCACCTTTTTTTCGGCAGTTCTGTCACAACAAGCCTGAGCTAAGTAAGTTTAGCGGCCGTCTTGCCGAAGGCACCAGGTACACTCTTGGCTACGTACGGGCCCCTCATCATCACCTGATCTTTTTCAGTAACACTTGGGAACTCAGCAAGTACGGAATACTTCGGTTTGCACAGCATTTTTCCACGAAGTCTGGGTTGCGGAATCGTGCTGGTCTTGTTGGGCAGCCTGCCTTTCCCAGGAGATCCCATTTATCAACAAAGCTGGTCATTTGCCGTTGCGCTATCTTCAACTCTGGGTCTGCTTCGGTCTTGGATCACCTCGCGCTCTATCATTTCATCGACATGCTGGCGACAGTTTGTTTCCGAAGCAAGAAAATAACTCTCGCGTACAAAGTTATATGTGTTGGAAGCCTTATGGAGCCGTAGCCATAGATGAAAATGCGACTGTAATTGCTCACTTAAGTAGTCACATGGACATTGAATAAAGGAAGTATCGTTAAAACTGATTCATGTTTGCACATCTTTATTGGCACTGTAGCGGAGTAGCCAATTCATGATATTGACACCAAACGGTGTCAATAGGGAGATTGTATAGCGCGACAATTCCCTGCCAATATTATCCGAGATAGGTAATATTGGATATCATTCCCTAAGGATAATAATCATGCGCTGCTCAAATATTGGTTGATAAAGACGCATCAACCAAGGTTACCACCAATCGCTGCTAGACGCGCGCAATGAGTGGTGAGCAGGTTGTCGTCATACGACAATGTAGTTTAATATAGCTAGATAATGACTGAAGTTATTTTGATAGTTTAACTATATTAAATACAGTTCTCTTTTTACCTTTTTACTCAAATAGACGTTTGAGTAGTTTAGCTTCCTCTGCACGTACTAGTGTACGTGAAGTTTCGTGGCACCTAAACAAAGGATGCCCCCTTGCACCTGGTAGCACTTTGCAGTCCATCCACACTGACTACTTAGCTTCCGTCCAACATGAACATGTTGGAGGTAAGAGACGACAGCTTTCACGTCAAACGTGATGGCTACTCCCATCTGAGTGACTCAGAATAGGAGGTAGTCGGCAGCGTGAGTGTGCTCATGGGCGAACCCGCCATCAGTGGTATGTTAGAGTCTATGTACAGAGACCAGCAACAGGCTGCTATCAACGAGTTCCTACAAGGAGAACTTGCCGTCGAAAGACAGAAGATAGCCTTGCTACAACAGAAAAGCTCTCATCAGTCGTTGGGAGGGCCGACGCAAATGCATCGACCCGAAACCTTGAAGATTGATATCTCAAGGTATAAGGAAACCGATGAAGATTCCCTTTTGAGATGGTTCGTCGAGTTAGACGACGCCATAAGGGCCCGTCCAATCGAGGGTGACAAGATGCAAGTCACCTTCACCCTGTCAAATGTGACAGGACGAGCAAAGACTTGGGCCTTAGGGCTCAAGCTTCACGACCCAAACATGTTTGAGTCGTTAAGGAGCTTGAAGTCTCGGCTCAAAGAGACGTTTGAGCCGCCGAGAGCCGAGTTCAGAGCACGCTCTGCACTCTTGAGGTTCAAGCAAGGTAAGCGTGATGTGCATGCTTACGCACAACACCTACGCTACCTTGTGAAAAGCGCGAACGCAAACGCGGCACGATCGTTTGAAATATCGTGCGCTAGGGAATTGTAATTATTCGTTCCGAGGTCATGGAGCTTATAACGCTGAGTCCGTTCATGATCCAGGTCATCTTGCAACTGTTCCGTTAACGGTTCAGTTTTCGAACATCAACTTGATCCGACCCTCGATCCGGATCAGGTGTTCCCGCCACCACCAAATTCTTTAATGGATTTTGGTGGTGGTTAAACGCTTTCTGGTGGAGCGTGAATTGAACCACCGCGACGTACATGGCGCCCGAACGAGTTACCTTGTCCGCTGGCGTTTATTATCCATCGGACATAGACAGCTGGGAGCCTCGTGCTCAGCTGATCGTTGATAATAGTGGTCCCGTCGAGCAGTACGACGAGACCCACCCGCTGCGTTTGAAGAAGGGCCGTCGGAAAATGACCTCCCCGAACGCGAGTACAGGGATTGCAATGTGTCGATTCCTTCGGCCATCTCAAAAGAGATGCGCGCCATCCAGTAGGGATCGTCAGGGAGGGAGGCCTCCCTAGGGGCACGGTTCGAGTTGTCCAGGCAACCTGAACACGAATCACCCCACGAGAGACAGGGTCATCCTGCCTCTCTTGACAGCCGGTGCAACTTGTATAGTACACCGACTGGGTTACGCTTCTCAAACCTGATGCGAGCTGCATCAAGTTTACCGAGCCAGGCCTCACGGCTAAGGCACTCGATGTTATAGATGAAAGCATTCCATCCTTGTACCAATGCCTTGCCGTCTCGACCACGGTTGCCATTGTACCACCGATGTTTGAATAACGCATCGGAGAAGAACTCTTCCTCAGCACGGATAGTTTCCGTGCTAGAATCAGGTGGACAGATCTTCCTGCAATCGAACAACGGGATTCGATTCCGTTCAGTGGTCATGCGGGCCAATCGATCTAACGCCTTGGATGACGGCATCCAAGGAGACTCCACCTGGGGAGCGTGGCGCAGGACATTGCGGTTTCTGGTCTCTTGAGTGGTGTCAGCATGAGCACTGATGTGGCAAAGTCACTACTCAAATTTTGTACGAGGATCGGTGGCCACACCTTTAAAGCTCCGCTTACTGGTGGAAAAGGAGGCCATGAGACTCGGCGATCCAATACGGAGGTGGAAGATGATCTTAACGGGATCGGCGAACCGATCCAACTGTCGTTAGACTAATGGGTATGAATCGACCTGGGACGGAGCGATCTGGAACGATTTACATGGAACAATCTGGGACAAGGATCTGAGACCGGGTGATGGGATATGACTCTGCGACGAAGGTGTAACATCTTGCAGAATGTTATGGGGCGATCTGGAACCAGACGTCGGGATGAAGTCATACAGCTCATTGGAATGCCGGTCAAGAAGAAGTATACGTACATTGAAGCAGGCTAAGATTAGATCGCAGATCGACATGTTGTGGCAACGGTTTGTTGGAGAATAGACACATCTGGGACAAGGTGACTCCCCCAAAGTGCATCTGGGACCAGGTGGTACGGGTCGGTGAATCGGCAAAGAAGGTGCAACACCATACGGATCGGTGATACTCTACTGATCCTAAATTGGGAGTACTGATTTTGGTTAATTATACACCGATCTGGAAGTTTTTGCATACTCAGAAGAGTCAAGGAAACCGATGTCGAGACGTATGAATGAAGTTGTCGATTGGATAACACTGGAGGATGATATTGAAGCACGTATGAGGAGATGAAAAAGTGTTAATTGCCGATTTAGACCGGATCGACCTCCAACATCTCGATATTGGATGACAGATCGGTCATTTTCCACACTGATCATGAATATATGGTTGATGAAGACACTGGATCATGTGGAATATACTTGGTAGAGGTCACTAAGTGATGTCAAGAAGTTTCACGCCGAAAGAGCCAGTGGAAGCTGTCCGAATTGACGTCGCAAAATGGATTTAGACGCCTTCGGCATTTGGGCACTATTTTGGGCTTTTGGGTACCAAAAATGGGTATTTGGTACCCCATTTGGGATTTGGTCCTCTTTTGGCGTTCAGGTACGGTATCGGGAATATTGGCGCTATCATTGGAGTACAGGGCACGAAATTTAGACACGTGGCAAGAGGGCGATCCAGATTCAAGGCGATATCGGTTTGAAGAGTGACCTATAGTTAAGAATAGGCTTAAGGATAGGTTGGATAGTAATTTGGTTGGTTAATAAAACAGACTTGAACTCTACTTCTTCTGCTCACGACGCACGTAATCCTCCCCTCTTCTCCAGGCAAGATTGATTTGGCTTCCCCGGCGGGTTAAGGCACGCGTGTTACAGGGACACAGAAGACCGATCTTGGATTGTTGGCCAAGATCGAGAAGAGCGATCCCGGGATATCTGGCCCGGATCGATCAAGTACTCACACTCAACTCAACTGCTAGGGTAGCAGCACACAACGGAAAAGGAAAAGGATTTTGGACACAGGATCGCGAGACGGCTCAATTGGTCAGAAGATCTGGACAAGGCGTTCAAGACAAGACCGAGCAGGATCGAAGCGATCCCCTGGACCGATCGGCACGTTTCATTTTGGCGAAACAAGACACCGATCTACCCAAATTGCGCACTTCCGGCAAGATCGGCCGATCCCAAGACCAGATCGGACCGATCCCAAGGCAAGATCGACGCAGGACTTTTATTTGCTGAGTGAAGATTTCCGCACAGCAAAGACCCCGATCTCGAAGACAAATCAAGATCGGTGCGATCCAAGATCGGGATCGCAGAACCCCCGTTCGTGGTGTGAAGATTTCCGCACCGGAAGCGAACCCTCAACCCAACCTCTCAGCGAGATCGACATCTCCCAAGGCCGTTACGAAGAGCTCAAGCCAGCCCAACCGACGGGTACACAAGGTGAGCACAAGGTCATACAGCAAGGCACGGATCGGAGTACCCCCTCCGTGAGTCGGCAAGTCTGGGCAAGTGGAAGATCGACACTCATACAAGCAATTTTGTGAGATCGACTTCACCACACTGACACCAGTGGCAGCTCGGTCTCTCGAGTTAATTCGCTCGTGGCGATGCTCAGAGGCATCGCCACCATCACCACGCAACCTATCGTCGGGTGAACTCGCGTGAGGCGAGGATTCGTCGGAACAATTGCTCGATCTGAAGATCTCGAGCATGATGCCGCCACATTGACCAGAGCCAGACAATCTGGCTCTTGCAGTGTCCGCCCCGGATGATCCGGAGGCGGGAGGCGCCGCCTTCAACTCGGATGCATCATCCGACTCGCTAGAACAGATCAGCTCTATCTCAGGCTCATCCACATCGCGAATCGCAGCACCCGCTGCAGACGCAGCGGATGTATCTGTCGCACGTGGTGACTCACCGCGTGGACTGTTTACAACAGGCACCGCCCAATTCTGAATCGCAACAGTTGGCGAAGGATCACCTGCTGCTGAAGCAATAGAAAAACTCTCTTCGGCTGCACGCATGCGTGCAACCGCCTTTCTTGCTGCTTCGGCAGCACATCGCATGGCCTTTGACACCATGCGATGAATTGGCAGATGAGTTAGAATTTGAACAACAAGTGCTCCCCTTCCCAGAGTGATCCAATGGTGGTCACCCTGACCCAATTAGTAAATTCGTTCAACGGGTGATTGATGGTTAAGGGGTGTGTGTGTGATGAAACGGGGTATCTGTTACATGAAAATGACACCAAGCGGTGTCAATGGGGAGATTGTCCAGCGTGACAATTCCCTGCCAATACTATCCGAGATGGATAATTTTGAAAGAACATTATCCCCTTCGTAGGATAATATTCATGCGCTGTTCAAAGATTGGTTGATAAAGACGTATCAACCAAGGTTGTCACCAATCGCTGCTAGATGCGCGTAATGTGTGGTGAGCAGGTTGTTTTCGTACGACAATGTAGATTAGTAAAGTTGGATAAAGACTGAAGTTATTTTGATAGCTTAACAACATTTACTCAAACTAGCTGTTTGAGTAGATTAGCTTCCTCTGCACGTACGAGTGTACGTGAAGTTTCGTGGAATCCCAAACAAAGGGTGCCTCGTTACAATACAGGAGATCACCGGTCGTTTTTCGATGGCGGAATTTTTTATTATCCCAACAGCATTCCCAATTTCCGTTTTAACACTTGTAACAATCAATTGCTTCCGTCCGCACTGTGTTCTATAACAGATCGGGCTATAAAATAATATTTGTTCCAATTATACTTTTTAGCACGAGAATAAGTTCGGGCACAAGCCGGTCGTCGATCGTTGCCACGTGGTTCCTCTCGACCAATCATCTCACCGCGGTCAGCTTTTCGACCAATGCGACAGCTGCCACTCAAAACACGTGCTCCTCATGTCGTCCGTCTTCTCGTCGCCTCGCAGCGCCGTACCACGCGGCGGTCGCGCCCGTCTTTTCCCGCCCCGTGCCATGCCCGGCGCGTACAACTCATTAATGCACACCCGCAGCAAGCACGAGCCAGGCGTGCCGTACTTCCACGCACCGTCGTCGGCACTGCGCATGGCGCCGTCGTCGTCATCGCCCTCGGCCTATGGGCTGACGACGACCCCGACCCCTCAAGCCACCATTTCCACCAATCCCAGTAGCGCCTCGATCCTCACGCCGTCCAACAGCAGCCATGGCAGCAATAGTAGTGGTGCCAAACGGTCGCGAGAAGATCTGAATCAGAAGGAGAAGCAGCGGATGCTTAAGTTGAATGACCGCATCAGTCAACTCAAGAAGCTGCTGGACGATGCCGGAGTGCAGACAAAGAAGAACAAACAGTCGATTCTCGATAACACGTCGCAGTACATTGAGACGCTGCGTGGCGACCTCGCAATTGCGCAGCAAAAGGCCGACCAGGCGGAGAAACAGACGGAGACGTTGCGGCAGACGCAGAAAAGGGGCAAGACCGATCACGTGATCTCGGACACGTTCCAGAAGACCACGACGCCGCGCGTGGTGCTTGATATGGACATGAAGACGGTCGTGTTCAACACGGCGTTCGTGAACTTTACGGGGCTGTCGGAACTCGCACTGAAGCGGAAAAAGACGCTCCGACCGTTCTTGTGTACGGATACGGCCACGTTTGAGCGTATGATGAAGAACGTACGGGAGACGAGGCAGTCGACAAGTGCTGTGGTGAGGACTGCTGTTGGTTCGCACGTGGTGCTGGTCGCTGCTGTCGTGACGGACGACGACGGGAACGTTCCGAACGTAGAGTTTTGTTTAATTCCGATTGAAATGGAAGAGTAGCAGCGGCAGCGATAGCAGCCATGGGTGACTGGTTGCTGCGACGAGCTAGAGTGACGTCAAATGGAGCTGCGGCCTCTAACGAGAAGTGGTACGAGCTAGAGAGGATGAGCGCAGTAGATTACGATGATGTCGTGGATGTAAGAGCGAACGGACGCACGGGAAAGTATACGAGTCCGGATCAGTGGGCCGCCGCTAGGCATTCTGCTTACTGTAGAGGCGGCATGCATGCAGTGCTGTAGCACGTAAGTATATATCATGCACGACTTGACTTTCCAGTCATTTGTAGAGTTTTGCGCAACTTTGGTTGATGTTTGATTACTGACGAGATGGTGCCGCGTATCGTGCATTACCGTCTTAGCTACTGCTGCTGACCTGCTTACTTACTGCCTTCGTCCTAGCTAGCTTGGTAGAACGGAAAGTCATTGTAGCCTTTGCCACCCAGCGACGAATCATAATACACCTCGCGTCCTGCCTCGGGAGCTACAGGCCAGTCATTCTGGAAGCGCTCAGCCAAATCAGGGTTTGAAATGTACAGCCGTCCAAACCCGACGCAATCCGCTGCGCCAGTGCGAAGTGCGCCCTCCGCGAGGTCCCGAGTGTAATTGTTGTTGGCCATCACGACGCCCTTGAATGCCGTCTTGGCATCGAACGGAGTCGTGTGACGGCACTTGTCCGTGTATCCTAGACCCGGACCATCCAGAATAGCGAGGTAACCAAGTCCGTGCGTGCCGAGCTGCTCCATCGTGTACTTGAACATCTCATAGTTGTCTTCACTCCCCATACCGCCAAACGCCCCATTCGGAGCAAGACGAACGCCAATGCGATGTGCCGGTACAGCCGTTTTGACAGCTTCAACAATCTCGAGCAACAGACGTGCACGGTTCTCGAACGACCCGCCGTACTTATCCGTGCGTTTGTTCGAGCACGACTGCAAGAACTGGTCAATGAGGTAGCCATTCGCACCGTGGATCTCGACCCCATCAAATCCGGCTTTCATGGCCAGTTCCGCCCCGTGACGGTACGACTCGACGACCCCCGGAAGCTCGTGGGTCTCGAGTGCACGAGGCGTCTCGTACTCGGCCTGGACGTATTTGGCGTCGCGCGTGTGGCCACTCTCGAGTCGCAACGCTGACGCCGACACGATCTCTCTCGTCGATTGGAAGCTTGAATGGCTCTGCCGACCCATGTGCCACATTTGCAGGAAAATAGTCCCCTTCTTCTTGTGCACGCGGTCTGTCACGCGTTTCCAGCCAGCGACATGTGCCTCGTTGTAGCAAGCAGCAGCGTGGTACCATCCGTAGCCTTGCTCGGAGATGGCGGTGGCTTCAGTGATGATCAAACCGGCACCTGCGCGCTGTTCATAGTAGAGCTCATTGTCAGCAGAGGGGACACGATTGGCGTTGGCGCGACCTCGAGTGAGCGGACCGAACACGACACGGTTCTTAAGCTCGAGGTCGTGTCCGAGTCTGAGTGGCGTAAAGAGCTTGTAGTCAGCAGTGGCGGTTGGCATAGCGGAGGGTGCAATGAGGTATACCCTGTTGTTTGGTTCTAGTGCGGCTTTGAGGTGGCAAATTGAGAAATGGAAGATCCGGGGGCTTGACGCGTCCTTCCTGACATAAATCGGGTCGGAGCAGGAGACATCAATCGAAGCTCGGTGACGTTCCGATTAGTAAACCAGTCGCGGCTTTGGCTACTACGATCTTTGGGTCATGACGATCTGGCTGACATATTTTTCATTGATTTTGGCTGTCGATGAATAGGTCAGATCCAATTCAGACCCACCCTATTTTCAGAAGCGTTCGTGGAATTTTTTTTAAATAAAATTAACGGCCGTGTATATTGGCCTTGTATACTAAACATTCAAAAGTGATGATCGATGTCGCTCGGATGTTTACGCATTCATTTGTCAGCTCCTACAATACAGTCTTCCCTCTGCTAAGTTATAGACTTGGTGGAAGGCAAATCCTATAACATAGCAGAGGTTATTCCATAGCAGAGGTATGCTGCGGAAAAATTATTAATTTAATTAATTAAAGAATCAAAAACGCAACAAATCTCCAGGCTTCCAAAACCTGTCTGTCACGTGTCACGTGCCCTATGAACGTTTTGTGATTTTGGTTGCCCCACCAGTCTCTGGTGATTTTGCTATCTCTAATTAAGAAGTTCCACCAACTGTACCTTGCTCACTCACAACAGATGTCGCAGATACGTCTTACCAACGAGCAGAAGCTGCGCATCTGCAAGCACGAGGATGCTAACCCGCGCATCACCCAGACTGCCCTGGCGGCTTGGACAAAGGACGCCTTTGACCTCCAGAAGGCACTTTCCCAGGCAGCGATCAGCAAAATCATCAAAAAAAGAAAGGAGCTTGAGGCAATGGACACCACTGACCTCAGCGCTAAGCGTCCTCGGACTGTCCAGCACCCAGCTGTGGAGGAGGCCGTCGCCTTCTGGGTCTTGCAGTGCCAGCACCGTGGGGTCGCTCTCACTGGACATCTCATACGGGCCAAGGCTCAGACCTTTTCGGGATCAATGGGCGTCTCGGAGGAAAACATCAGCTTTTCGCATGGGTGGCTCCACAAATTCCAGCAACGCCACAAACTGCGAGCTGTCCGCATTCATGGCGATAGTGGCTCAGCAAATATGGGCGCTCTAGAGGAGGCTCTTCCACACCTCAAGGCCGTGGTTGCTGGTTATGCGCCACGTGACGTGTACAACATGGACGAAACTGGTAGGTCTGAGAATACAGTACAGTACTGTACTCATTGTACAGTACAGAAGCATCTCAAAGGCTCACTTTCTGTTCAGGTTTGTTCTACAGTATGACGCCCGACAAAACGATCGCCCAGCAAGAGGTCGAAGGGTTTAAAAAAGACAAGGTACATTATTGCTCTCCTCTTGGTTTCCTGCGTTTCTCGGACACTAACAACTATTCTAGACGCGCATCACAGTTGCTCTCACGGCAAACGCTGATGGATCCGACAAACTCCCGCCGGTCTTCATTGGACACGCCAAAAAGCCGCGGTGTTTTGAGCGCAAGACAGCTGAGCGACTGGGCTTTCTCTACCGCAACAACAAGAAAGTCTGGATGACTGGCATACTCTTCCAGGAATGGCTGGGAGACGTCGACAAAAGTATGAAGGTAATTTGGGGCATGCCTTGAACATCATCGTTGTGGTACAGTAAAGGAGGTTTGACTAACGCGTTGACCACAGCAAAAGGACAGAAAAATCCTGCTTCTCATGGACAACGCTCCTTCACACATTGTTGCTGACCTGGAACTCACCAACATCACGGTCCAGGTTCTTCCTCCTAATACGACTTCAAAGGTCCAACCCATGGATGCTGGGATTATTGCCGCATTCAAGAGGCACTACGGCCGGCTGCATCTGCAGAATGCCTTTGACCGTGACGAGCGCGGAGAAACCAACCTTTACAAGGTTGATCATCTCACGGCCATGCGTTGGTCGCTGGCTGCGTGGAGCGAGATTTCCAGTGCCACAATCGCCAACTGCTTCCGTCATACGGGACTCATGGACGGTCCGGCTCTGCCGACTGGTGGGGGTGAAAACGAAGCCGGCACTGTTGGCCATCAGGCCCAGCAGGAGGCAGCAGCTGCTGCAGTAGAGGAGCAGCGCGTGGAACAGGATCTTGTTTCGGCGCTGGAAAGGCTTCCGCTCCGCAATCCCATGTCGATCGCTTCTCTTCTCAATCCGGCTGAGGAGGAGGAGACGGCGCATGCGGAGCTGACCTATGCCGAAATCATCAAGCTTGTTGAGGATCCGTATGGGGAGGAGGAAGGTGCTGCTGAGGCGGAGGAGGAGGTGGAAAAGCATTCGAAGGCTGAAAAGCTTGCCAGCCTTAGTCTATCCATCGCCCTTCTCGACCTTTCTCAGGAGTCCCATCGTATAGCTCACCGGACCCTTCGCCAAGTCCAAGCTGATCTCCGTAGTGCGAGCACCACTCAGGCCACACTTGATTCCTGGCTGAAGTAGTTCCCTCTCCTCTTTCCACTCCTTTCTTGCAGTGAATAACAAAAAAAAGGTTCTGCGTACAATATTTCTGCTCACGGCGGACAAAAATATTTCCTCTGATAAGTTGTATTTGGCCCTCAGGCTATTCCGTATAACTTATTCCGTAGACACCATAGAACGAGGTCGGTGGAGACCGAATCCTATAACTTACCGGAGGTTATTCCATAGCCGGGGATAACTTAGCAGAGGGAAGACTGTAGGTTATGGCTTCGAAGCCGTTTAAAAGTCCATTACAAGCTGTGATCTACATGCAACAGCTGGCGTACAGCGCCTTCCGATAAAAGTACATGCATCGATTTGAAGTAGACAAGTGGTCGTTGACTTCTCAGCGGATACTGATCATTCGGATCGTTTGCGTTTACAATAGACCTGGAGCCCGAGAAATTGATCACGACGAGTGCTGCTTTGTGTCCTACCAAGTCGCCCATGTGGAAAAAGCAGCTTGGAAGAAACGTGGGGTGTCCTTTACACGATATTTACGTAGAGTTGATACCATATGAGAATATTACATTAGCAAATATTCCTCTTAGAATATTATTACAAAATGGGAGAGCAAGCTCTGGAGCTCCCCCTTTGCATTAAAAATTTAGTATACAGAACTGAATCAAGTTCTGAACATTCACATTCATTCGTATGGTAGCTAGGGAATGGGTCGTACGCTGTGTATAAAAACTGAGAGTGCTCATACATCGTTGAGTATCAAAGCCACTCGTTAATTTTGTTGATCTTTTAAAGAGCAAGATGTAAGAGACAGGGATGATTCTGCTTCGTTACACCGTGAAGTACAAAGATCGGCCGACGATGAACAACTGATTGATGAAAAGCAAAATGAACTACTCTTTGAATCACCAAAAATAGGGAGTCGACCACGAGTGGCGACAACACAGCGAGTTTCGTACTCATGGAGCCTTGATTTCTATCCGGATCAATAATGACCCAGATGCCATGGCCAGGGAACCCCCGTCGAGAGGCACGACCCTATGTACCACAGCCAGAGAGACGAGGACCGACACTACCCAAATCTCCCAATACCCAGCGTGGCATGACGGTGAAGGGTGCCTGGTCCCGCGACCACAGCCATACGCGTGTGAGGACGGATGTAGACGAACACAAGGCAGAACTGGTGGCGTAGCCGGCTGCAGTGGACGCTCCCTCGAGAGTAGAGGACACAATCACCGCCCTGATCCAGGATGATTCAGGGTCTATCGAGGACATTCTCACTACGGTATCCGTCCTGGCACTTCCACCGTAAAGCTTGATGGACCTGTACAAATGTATCATTCACGACATCAAGGAAGCCACGAGTGCGGAACTACGAGAAGCATGGCAGGTTGTGGTGGCGCTTTTACTTGCCGATGTCTACAACGCAATACCGTGCAAACGCGAGCAGCTAGCACCACAAAATGTTCGGTACCCGAAATTGAACTCAGCATAATCAGCAATGCTGACAACTTTCTCGAGGAGGCGTGCATTAAAGAGGACTGCTCATTCCAACAAAGGGAACGCTATGCTACGAGCATCAGTCAGGACGCCATAAACACCGCATGGATGCTCAGTACTATTTTGGGGCGAATAACGAATAAATTGCGCGGATCAAAGCTTTCAGTCCTTGATCATGGACGGCAAATACTCCAGGACAATTCCCCGCGCGGGCCAACAATACACAGTGGATGCGGATAAGTGTGAGAGTTTTACCAACAATCCGGCTTTCCGGCGTTTCTGACCTGTATCTTTAATCATTATAAGCAATTACGGCTACGCAGCACTACTCAAGCCCAAGTAGAAGGATAGTTTAGCTTCCAGCTAAGCGGGAAATATGCCATTTCAAAAAGACGGAGATACACGCAGGCGATTAAAAAAGTCGTCTTCTGAAGACCACCCAGCGCAGTCGATGACGAGGTTGCTGCTTTCAAGCAATATCTTTTCGAGAATGCTGACGATGTCACTGATGTGGACAATAAACGTAAGGGCAATCAACAGAGATTTAGGCGCAAGGCGAGCAGTATACGAGATCACTTTACCAAATGATCTGACGCCGCAGAAACTGAAGAGCGCCATTTACAAGCGTTGCCGGACCCGACTGTGTAACGGGGCACCCTTCGTTTGGGGGGCCACGACACTTAAAGTACACTAATACGTGTAGAGGAGGCTAATCTATTTGAACGACTCGGTCAAGTAAAGGTAAATAGAAAACTGTATTCAATATAGTTAAGCCATCAATATAACTTCAGCCTTTATCCAACTATATTAAACTACGCCGTCGCATGACGACAACCTGCTCACCACTCAGTGCGCGCGTCTAGCAGCGATTGGAGGCAATCTATGATTGATATGTCTCATATCAACCAATCTTGGAGCAGCGCATGAATGTTACTAAAGGAGGATAATATTCCTTCAACATTGTCCATCTCGGATAAAATTGGCAGGGAATTGTCACGCTAGACAATATCCCTATTGACACCGCTCGGTGTCAATATCATGTAACAGATAACCCCGTTACATCACCCCCCCCCTAACCATCAATCACCCGTTCATTGTATTTGAATTGATTGGGACAGGGTGATCACCGTTGGATCACTCTGGGAAGGAGAGCACTTGTTGGTCAAATCTCATTCATTTGCCAATCCAACGCATGCTTCAAAAACCACGCGAGCTGCTACTGCAGCAACAAGAAGGGCGGCTGCACGCATGCTTGTGGCCGCGGAAAGTGCCTCTCACGCCTCAGCAGCAGGCGATTCGTCGCCTCTTGTCGTGAATCCTCCACATGGTAAGTCATCACGTGCGACAGGTACATCCGTTGCGTCTACAGCGGGTACCTCGAATCGTAATCCAGACGAGTCTGAGATATAGCTCATCTTTTCTGGCGAGTCGGATGATGCATCCGACTCGAAGGCGACTCCTTACGCCTCGGGATCACCCGGGGCTGACACTGCTAGAGCTAGATTGACTGGCTGCGGTGAACGCGGCGGCATCGTGCTCTATATCTTCGGATCTAGTGATTATTCCGATGAATCTCCGCCTCACGCAAGTCCATCCAACGATAGGACGCGTGGGGATGGTGGTGATGCACCTATACATCACCACGAGCAAAGTAACTCGAGGGATCAGGGTAACACTGGTGCCAGTGCTCATGCTGGAACCAATCAAGAGGCCAGGGACCGAAATGTCCTGCGCCACGACCCTCAAGTGGAGTCTCCATGGATGCCGCCATCTGGAGAGTTGGACCGGTTGGTCGGCACGACTACGGAACGGGATCGAATCCCGTTGTTCGATTGCAGGAACATTTGTCCGCCTGATTCCAGCACGGAAGCTATCCGTGCTGAGGAAGAGTTCTTCACCGATGCGTTTTTCAAACATCGGTGGTACAATGGCAACCGTGGTCGAGACGATGAGGCATTGGTGCAAGAATGGAATGCCCTCATCCACAACATCGAGTGTATTGGCCGTGAGACCTGGCTCGCAAAACTTGATGCGGCTTGCATCAGGTTTGAGAAACGCAACCTCGTCGGGGCGCGATATAAGCTGCATCGACTGTCAAGAGAGGCAGGATCACCCTGTATATCGTGGGTTGAATCGTGTCCAGGTTGCCTGGACAACTCGAACCGTGCCCCTAGGTAGGCCTAACTCCCTAATGATCCCTACTGGAGGGTGCGCATCTCTTCCGAGATGGACGAAGGGATCGACACTTTGCAATCCCTGTACTCGCGTTCGGGAAGGTTATTTTCCGACGGCCCTTCTTCAAACGCAGCGGGTGAGTCTCGTTGTACTGCTCGACGAGACCAAGGACATCTACAATCAGCTGGACACGAGGCTTCTAGCTGTACCACGACGGTGGACAGCCACGCCAGCGGTCGAGGTCACTCGTCTGGACGCCATTCACATCGCGGTGGTTCAAAATACGCTCCATTAGGCAGCGTTGACCACCGCTTGAGTCCACCAAAGGATGTGGTGGCAATGGGAACATTTGATCCGGCTCGAGAGTCGGATTCGCTTGATGTTCAAGAGCTGATCCGTCTAACGGAACAGTTGCAAGATGACCTGGCTCACGAACGATCTCGGCGTTATGAGCTTCAGGATCTTGTAAGGGATAATTACACTTCCATAACGCACGATCGTTCGGACGATCGTGCCGCTTTTGCGTTCGCACAACTTGAGAACGAACATTTGACTCGTTTTCTTCGTGATGAGCTGGCTGTAGCTCGTCAGGAAATTGCTCAACTACGTGAACAGGTCGCTTCGCTAGTCGACCAGACTGGCTCGTTGAAACGGGACCACTCGAAGGTGGTCTCGGTTCTTGACCGCGGAGGTGTTCTCAGCATCTTGGAACCGGGATCGTACTGATAGTACGGGCGGAGACGTCCAGCGTAACCGTAGGATGCGTACGCACCTTACGGGGATGTTCAATCGTGTATGTGTTGCCCATATGGCGAAACACACGAAATGGACCGATATACGTTGGCAGTAGTGTGCTGCTGCCCACATTTGTCACTGCGTGTTTCGGTAGATTTACTGTTAACAGTACAACCGAGTCTCCTTCATTAATTGAAAGAACATTTGCTCTTCCATGTTTGTCTGCGTTTTTTTGCTTATCTATTGCGGCTGCAACAGAGTCTAGAACAAAGCGGAAAAAAGCTTCGCGAGTCAGCAGAAATTCCTCTGCTAACTCGTTTCTGTTAACGGCAGTGCGCTTCTTGTGCACTACTGAAAGACCGTTGTCTTCACCAAGTATGGGTATCATCGTCCTCACTTCGGCGGTCATGGGCGATGCTGAATATTCCAGCATCGCCGTCATCATCGTCATCAGCGTCGATCGCATTGACATCAGCATCCATCACGTCGACACCATTGCCGACGGGTTATGAGCAAGAACCAGATCGGTTTTGTTCGAGTCCACCCCCCCCCCCTTAAACTAGAGTAACGCTGGACGGCGTAGGTTATTCACGAAGAACGGTGTATGCGCTGTCGATGTATGCACCGAGTTGTGGATGGCGAATTCCGCCATCAGCAAGAACTCACTCCGGCTCGTAAACGAGTGGACATAACCTCAAAGTATCTCTTCGAGGACGCGGTTGACGCGTTCCGTCTGACCATCTATTTCCGTATGGTCAGAAGTTGACATCTCCAAACGTGTTCCAAGTGAACGGAACAAGGATTGCCAGAACTCCGCCGTAAAGTGGGGATCTTTATCAGACGCGACTTCACGTGGTAACCCGTGAAGTCAGAAGATAGCATCGATGATGACACGAGCACAGCCCTGGGCTGTGATTGACACCGGCACAGCAACAAGATGTACCATCTTGCTGAATCGATCAACAAAAACAAGAATACCCGTATTCTTGTGAGCGCCTTTGGGGAACCCGAAGACGAAGTCCATCGATACGGACTGCCAACACTCTGCCGGAATCGGAAGAGGCCGCAAGGGTGCGCGGGATGAAAGACTAGGCTTCACCCGTTGACAAACTTCGCAAGCGCGAATGTATTTGCGCACAAACTCATACTGGCGGGGCCAGCAGAAGTCACGACTCACCATAAGGTAAGTCTTTTCTCGACCGCTATGTCCACTTGTTGGGGCATCGTGACACTCACACCTGATGCGCAGTCGCAAAACATTATGAGCGGGATTGACGACACGAGGTGTGTCGCCTTTGACTGCTGTATAGTACAGCAGTCCATCACGAACAGAATACCGTTCGGTTGAAAAACGGTATTGAGACGACAAGCTTTTCAAAGCTTGACTGCATGGATTAACTACGTAATCTATCAATCGGTGGAGAGACTCATCTTCTGCGTATGCTTTCCGCACATCGTCGAGCAGGTTCGACGACGGAACACTCACTGTTAGTGTCGCTACAGTGGGATCACCCCTACTGTTGTGTTGAGCAGTCGGCTCGAAATCAGGCCGGCGCGAAATAGCATCAGCGACGACATTAAGTCGTCCTGGTTTATACTCGACAGAGAAGTTGTACTTCACGAAGAAAGACAGCTACCTCGCCATTTGTTGCGATAAATGTGGACTGTTTACGTATTGGCCGTGCGTAATGACGCATGGTCGGTATAAACGATGAAGGGCCTATCTCCGAAAAAAATACCCGAAACTTAGCCAGTACATATTTCATGGCAAGGGGTTCCTTGTCATGCACCGGGTAATTTCGCTCAGCTGCTTGCATACGAAGCGACTGATAACAGACGACGCGCTCAATGCCGTCTGAGTCGTACTGCATTAACGCGCAGCCCATTGCAAAATCTCTGGGGTCACAGACCACATGGAATGGTCTGTCCTGATCTGCAATCGCCACCACAGGCGATTGCACCAGCTTTTCTTGATGCCTTCAAAAGAGTGCTGACACTCAGCACTCCATGACCACCTCTCGTTTTTCTTTAGCAGACGATATAGATGTGCGGTCATCTCGGTGTAGTTGCGCGAGTACTTGTGCAACTACACCGTCAAGCCAAGAAACTTTCGAAGTCCCTTGACGTCGACTGGCACAGTCCAGTCGCTATTCGCCTTGATATTTTCCGGATCAGGGTGTGCACCGTTTTTACCCACGATGCAGCCAAGAAGTGTTATTTCGTGTGATGTGAATACACACTTCTTGAGGTTTTCGAACAACTTATGCTCACGCATAAATGTAAGAACCTTCCGGACGTGGATTCTATGAACCTCCACGTCCGTCTTTCCATCCATAGCCCGGCTATGGACGAGTACATTGTCAAAATAAGTCGGTCCGAAGTCTCGAACCGATCGTAACAGATTCGTAGCACATCTGTTGAACGTTGCAGGGTCGTTACTTAGCCCCTGTGGCACAACTAGCCACTCCCAGATAATACCACTGGGGGTGCTCACAGCTGTGTACGTATGTCCCGTTCACGCATGAGGATCTGACAGAATCCATCCATCAGATTCATGGACGAAAAGATGGTACTCTTTGCCATACCATCAATGATGACGTCCTTCCTTGGTATCGGCGTCCGAGCCGGTACCGTTGCAGCGTTCAATTAGTTGAGCGCGTGCACTATACGCCACCCTCATGTGGCCTTTCGCACACAGAAGGTCATAGAGCTGTGTAGGGATGTTGGTTCCCTCACATGACCAGCCGCTTAACGATCGGCAAAGAATTTGTCGATTGCTGTTACCTGTTCACGAGGCAGTGACCACTGCTTAATGACACAGTACGTCGAACCGGGTTTCAGTTCGATCTCATGCCGAGTGCCTTTGTCCTTAGGCAGTTCGCATGGCATGGATTCAGGACTAACATCCCTTAATTTGACCAAATTCTTATACATAGGATTTGTCTACAAAGAATCTTAAGATTGAGACGTGTATCGCTCAATCCGGGTCTTCTCATCGAGGACACTCTCATCCATCGATGAGCTACTGAGAACCCGTTCGTTCTCAGCAAACACTTGTGCCGACCAAATATCGGCGACGTACTCGTCTTCTGTGACGAGTATGCATTCCGGCTTGATCTTGTCACTCCGCAGATCTCGCCAAAATCTTTTAGATTCTAGCGCTGTCAACTTAATTACCTCCGAAGCTGACTTCGGGGGTATAATCAGATCAAATGTATTAGAGCCTACACTTGATCCGTCATTCACCAAGACATTTACTGTCTCGGTGATTTCCTGGGAAAACGCATTCGCATGTGGTTGGGGAAACACACCTTTAACATAATCTCTCGGGAGTTTTCACTCTCAGGAACACTGGAACTTTTTTCCAAGACGTGTTCTGACTGTGGGTGTACTACCACAGCACGTCCTCTTCGAAAGACTCTCTTTCATTCGATCGGGCTTGCTGTGCGATCGACTCGCTGACAGTCGATCTCGCTTCAACGTGTTGTTCATCGTGAACAACACTGATCTCTCTTCTTGGATGCACCCTTTTTGATGTGCATCCGTGTTCCGGTCCACTCGATCTCTTCGAGTGGTGAACCTTTGTCACAGTCTGTGTCTCTGCACAGGTGCTGGAAGCTAGTTCCACAGTGTAGTGGCCTTCAACACTGTGATCATGTGCAGTCATACTAATGACCGTACCACAAGTGAGGCCATCGCACTCGCTCGTAGTACATCCACACGCTTGTGGAAGCTTCAAGACGTTCACCAGATGGCCATCCGATGAGCAAACGGCAGGCATCTTCACGGATCAATGCTGCCAGCTGATCCATGACTGGTATTTTCCAAGCCATGACAGACCGAGGATGACATCGCATTTGTCATACAAATTCAATTCGATAAAGTCATCATCGTACTGCTTTCCTTCTAGCGTGTAGTGGATTCACACTACACGTTTGTTCACTGATACGGATGCGCCTGTTGCATGGCACACCGTCATCCTCGTTGGAGGTATATCTCGCTTAATATAGTTGAGTCTATTATCCCCTAGCTACTGGCGTCGAATAAAACTGTTCGACGCCCCACAGTCAACTAGGGCGCAAAGTGACATGCCACTTGTCACTTCGATCTTCAAAGTGATGAGGGACTCCTCATCACTAGGGGAGGTAACACACAACGACTGTGTGTTGGGAGCAATCTTCGTCAAGCGTCCCGCAAATTCTCTTGACATTACTGGATCAGCAGGGTGCTCCGCTCCAACTGACCCTGACCGTTTTTTGGTGGTCCGACTTGCTGTCGCGATATGGTGGGACCCGCGCCTTGGACCATTCCTCCGCCAACGGCGGTCATCACGTCCTGTCTTTGGACGTGATGCGGTGCTTGGGACACCATATTAATAAGCGTAGTGTCCGATCTTCTTAAAGTGATGGCATCTTGCCGTTCGATTGTGACTCAGAGAGCGAGAGTTCTCACTCTCGATGTAACAGAGGTCCATTGGTTCGAGAACTCCTGTTTTCTGTAGTCTCGTCGGACAGATAGTTTGACGACTTAGCCTGAGACTGTCTCAGGCTGAAGTCTTCTTGTTCCGCATACGCTATCGCCTTTTCCAGCGTATGGAAGTCCTCTAGGAACATCTAGGTCTTCACAGATGCGAAGAACACCTCCGCGGATCGAGAGCCGAGACCACCTTCGAGTGGTCCCGTTTCAACGAGCCAGTCTGGTCGACTAGCGAAGCGACCTGTTCACGTAGTTGAGCAATTTCCTGACGAGCTACAGCCAGCTCATCACGAAGAAAACGAGTCAAATGTTCGTTCTCAAGTTGTGCGAACGCAAAAGCGGCACGATCGTCCGAACGATCGTGCGTTATGGAAGTGTAATTATCCCTTACAAGATCCTGAAGCTCATAACGCCGAGATCGTTCGTGAGCCAGGTCATCTTGCAACTGTTCCGTTAGACGGATCAGCTCTTGAACATCAAGCGAATCCGACTCTCGAGCCGGATCAAATGTTCCCATTGCCACCACATCCTTTGGTGGACTCAAGCGGTGGTCAACGCTGCCTAATGGAGCGTATTTTGAACCACCGCGATGTGAATGGCGTCCAGACGAGTGACCTCGACCGCTGGCGTGGCTGTCCACCGTCGTGGTACAGCTAGAAGCCTCGTGTCCAGCTGATTGTAGATGTCCTTGGTCTCGTCGAGCAGTACGACGAGACTCACCCGCTGCGTTTGAAGAAGGGCCGTCGGAAAATAACCTTCCCGAACGCGAGTACAGGGATTGCAAAGTGTCGATCCCTTCGTCCATCTCGGAAGAGATGCGCACCCTCTAGTAGGGATCATTAGGGAGTTAGGCCTACCTAGGGGCACGGTTCGAGTTGTCCAGGCAACCTGGACACGATTCACCCCACGATAGACAGGGTGATCCTGCCTCTCTTGACAGTCGATGCAGCTTATATCGCGCCCCGACGAGGTTGCGTTTCTCAAACCTGATGCAAGCCGCATCAAGTTTTGCGAGCCAGGTCTCACGGCCAATACACTCGATGTTGTGGATGAGGGCATTCCATTCTTGCACCAATGCCTCATCGTCTCGACCACGGTTGCCATTGTACCACCGATGTTTGAAAAACGCATCGGTGAAGAACTTCTTCCTCAGCACGGATAGCTTCCGTGCTGGAATCAGGCGGACAAATGTTCCTGCAATCGAACAACGGGATTCGATCCCGTTCCGTAGTCGTGCCGACCAACCGGTCCAACTCTCCAGATGGCGGCATCCATGGAGACTCCACTTGAGGGTCGTGGCGCAGGACATTTCGGTCCCTGGCCTCTTGATTGGTTCCAGCATGAGCACTGGCACCAGTGTTACCCTGATCCCTCGAGTTACTTTGCTCGTGGTGATGTATAGGTGCATCACCACCATCCCCACGCGTCCTATCGTTGGATGGACTTGCGTGAGGCGGAGATTCATCGGAATAATCACTAGATCCGAAGATATCGAGCACGATGCCGCCGCGTTCACCGCAGCCAGTCAATCTAGCTCTAGCAGTGTCCGCCCCGGGTGATCCCGAGGCGTAAGGAGTCGCCTTCGAGTCGGATGCATCATCCGACTCGCCAGAAAAGATGAGCTATATCTCAGACTCGTCTGGATTACGATTCGAGGTACCCGCTGTAGACGCAACGGATGTACCTGTCGCACGTGATGACTTACCATGTGGAGGATTCACGACAAGAGGCGACGAATCGCCTGCTGCTGAGGCGTGAGAGGCACTTTCCGCGGCCACAAGCATGCGTGCAGCCGCCCTTCTTGTTGCTGCAGTAGCAGCTCGCGTGGTTTTTGAAGCATGCGTTGGATTGGCAAATGAATGAGATTTGACCAACAAGTGCTCTCCTTCCCAGAGTGATCCAACGGTGATCACCCTGTCCCAATCAATTCAAATACAATGAACGGGTGATTGATGGTTAGGGGGGGGGTGATGTAACGGGGTTATCTGTTACATGATATTGACACCGAGCGGTGTCAATAGGGATATTGTCTAGCGTGACAATTCCCTGCCAATTTTATCCGAGATGGACAATGTTGAAGGAATATTATCCTCCTTTAGTAACATTCATGCGCTGCTCCAAGATTGGTTGATATGAGACATATCAATCATAGATTGCCTCCAATCGCTGCTAGACGCGCGCACTGAGTGGTGAGCAGGTTGTCGTCATGCGACGGCGTAGTTTAATATAGTTGGATAAAGGCTGAAGTTATATTGATGGCTTAACTATATTGAATACAGTTCTCTATTTACCTTTACTTGACCGAGTCGTTCAAATAGATTAGCTTCCTCTGCATGTACTACTGTAGGTAAAGTGTCGTGGCACCTCAAACAAAGGTTGCCCCGTTACAACCAACGTCAAGTTAGCTGTCATTTCGTCTGGGATACATAGCCGTCGTGGTTGACGTCATGCCGCGTGAGCATATTATTAGTTTTGTCTACACTATTTTCACTACAGAAAATTGACAGTCCAGCATCGAGCCCCTGAAAATCGACAAGTCCCACTTGTGGCGTTCAAAGAGCTCGAGAATTTCTATAAGACTATATTGTGTCTTCATTTCCGTATCTCGTCTGACTTGCCGGTCTTTTGATAGCTGATTGTTGGAGCAACAAAGAAAAAGTGGCTGTTGTGTGTTACCCTTTCGGTCTGCAGGAGCACGAAAACACTAAAAAAACGTCGTTTTTTCGTCGTACGCACGAACGAGTTTCAGTTCGAGCATTTCGGACTCGAATGTACTAAGCAAACACAAGGAGTTAACAGACCGTCGTTAATAGCGAAAGAAGTGGCTTCTTCGTGTGAGTGCAAAAGATTTTAAAGACGTGCTATGTGGTTTATGCCACTGTAAACTTTTCTATAGCTCAGGCTACCGTCGTCCGAAGTGACACAGTTTCGCAGGAAAAATATTGCGATGCATCTTCCTTGTCTTAGTCTATCTCCGTTTCGCCCAAAAGATTGTCGATCTCTGAGAATGTTGCAGAAGAATCCTTATCATCTTCTTCGTCATCATAAACAGTGCATCATTTGTACTTCCTGCAAAAATACGCTTGTGCATCTGCAGTATAGACACATTTCCCCGTGTTCCATGCGATATTATCAGAATATATGTTCAGGAAAATGATCATTGCAGCGAAGGCGAGCCCGGACGACTCCGGCGTGATAAATTCAAAAGACCAGATATAGGAAGGTCTCTTTCTGTGGATAAAGAAGAATCCGGAAGGTCCAAGATACGTTTCGCCACCGTTGTCTAGCTTACAGGCTTATTCATTTTTCTTTTAGAATTGTAAAACTTGTCCCACCGTGCACTTCATCGGTCATTTCCTACTCGAATTCGGGCACCGTCTTGCACCATTTTTGGATAAACTTATTCTTGAGCTCTCAATTATCTTCTTCGATGGCCTCGGCAATTGCTACAACATGAGCCTCCACGTCGCCGCGTATCTCTTCATCCTCCTGGTCGCCATCGAAAAAACCGAGATATCTTATCGAAGAATTTGACGCCGCCTGCTGAAGATATACGCCAGATCGTTAGGGATCTATCCTTGATCTCGTTCTTTGAGGCGCTATGGATTTAGCTGCTGCCGCTAGTCCATGCCTCCACCCTCGTTGCTAGCTCAGTTGCCATTGTTCGAATGAGACCCCAGGTGTGGCCCTGTAGGGACTAGATGTGGGTTTGATAGCCTCTAGCGACAAGTCAGATTCCAGCTCTAAAGTAGCAACAGTCCTCTCGAGAAATGGAGGGCTTACAAAATACGTGTTTAGTGCGCATGCCATCTCAAAGGGTTAGAGTACTTTCCCTTTTGATATTTTTCAGGCACATACCCTTCCAAAAACCGTTGATAGAGCGCTATAACTTGCCCTTGTCTTGTCTGACACATCAACAGAAACCTTTTAGGTTAAATCGTAAATTCGATCTCTCTTTAGCGGGCATTTTCTTCCACCACTTTGAGGGGAAAATTTGCATTTAGCTTCGTCATCTACAGTGCCATTAATTCAAAAACAGCAATGGGTGATGCTACCATTGACCCGCCCTGTGTCGACTGCATCGAGGAAGCCATTGGTGCTAAGAGGGAATTTAGCTAGACTACGAGACCGTGCTTGTCAGCCAATGGAAAGTTCTTCTTTTCTGCATGAGAATAATCTGTGACAACGTACCAGCGTTCAAGAAATCTTAAGAGAGACGACCCAGGCTCAGGAACCTATAAGTAGCGTGAGTCGCTAGATTCTTCTATCGCTTTCCATGTTTTGCATTCTGCTGAAGTTTCTTAAGTTTAGCTTTTCCCTTCGCAGACTTATTGAGATGCTCGATGACCTTTATAAGCTCTTAGGCAATCTTTCGGGATTTATGATTTCTGCTCTTGGTTGGGTCTAACGCGACAATAAATGCTTTCCTGGCCACTCTGTTATACATATGCAGAATGCACCACTCCCACATGTTTTCCACTCGCAGGAACAGAGCTCGCTTGACGTCACCCCTGAAAGCATATGTTAAGTCTGCGATATTCTGCCAAAGATAGGTGAAATCATCAAATACATTTCTAAGCTGCTCAACAAGGATATCAGACTGTCTTGATAACGGAGATTTGTCAGAAGTTGGATCGAATGGTCTGACTGCAGGGATGTGGCTTCGCGAGTTCCAGTCACAGTCAACGAAGTAGACTCGAACGCCAACATAATTGTCTTTGGATACCTTTGACGTCCATACATCTAGGTTTAGGTGCAACATCGGGATGTAGAAGTTCTAAGTAGCACCCCGCAGATCCACAATAAACTTCTTCTTATTTAATTCATAGAGCTCCATGTGCTTCAGAATTTAATTTGTCGTGACGTTTCTAGGTATATTCGACGCAGCATTTTTATAGAAACATGCGGACTGTTTTAAATTCACACAAAGAGAACACAAGCATGTTGTAAAAAACCACGCGAGTCCACATGACCTCCCAAGATCGATGTGGGTCACCTTCAAACAAGTGCAACAATGTGCGCGATCTCACTCTTCTTATGCGTCTCACTAGCTCTGGTAAGGGTACCAAAATCCACACCGATGGCGTTGTAGACAGCCTTGAGGTGATTTATCGCATTTAGAGCAAAAGCAATAACTAATTTGACGTTCAGCTGACGCTCTTGGCATTCCTTGCTAGCCATGCCGAACCAGCGTAGGTTATTGTAATCCGTTAAGATCTCAATTTGTACTCGCCAATCCCAGAGAAGACTGAGGTTCGTCAGAGCCTCTTCAGCACTTCAGCAAGCTTTTAGTCCTTTACACTTTTCTGGTATCACGAATGATGCAATGATTTCTCAAACTTCATCATCTCGAGTTGTCTGCTTTTGAGATGACTCTTTTTCTACTAAAATAACATCATTGCCATCCCCACCGCTTCTATGGCTGTTGGCGTATGGATGGAGATGTATGCTGTCATCTATCTGTTAGAAGTTGAAGTTGGCAGTCCTATGGGTTCAAACCAGTTAAAGTAGAGGCTGACATCTGGGATCAACGTTGTACTTTGGAATGAGTGGACAAGAGAGGAGTAGAACGAAGCAAGCTAGCTAACCAGCAATGTCAGAAATCTTTTTCCATAGTGCTCTCCACCTTCTCTCTGCCTAGCCCGATGGATAACGAGCACTATCACCGCAGTAGTTGGTTGGCAATGTCTCTTCAAGTTTTTTAAGGCTCTTCAGAAGAAGATTCATATGGGACTTGGGACTTCAAGAGTTCGAGGCGATGACTTAGGAAAAACCAATCAAATCAAGCTGCTAGTAAATGAAGACCATTTTAATTGTTATGCAATCGGAGTAGGCACAGTACAGATAATTTACGATTTGTAAAAGGGCTGAATATATGTAGTAATAAGTGATCTATTCGTCATGAGGAATGGAAAATGATGTGGTTTATGCAAGGCGGAGAGTTGTGAGTTCACTCTTTGTTCAACCATGATCAGTGTCTTTTAGCTACAACAGATAATAAAAGGACGTATTGTAGTTATAAAATAAATACTATTGGTAGCGTACAATTGAGTCCCTAGCTTGTACAAATTATTACATTTGGTTAAACCTTTCTTGAAACGTTTGTACGTATGAGAAATAGTATCTATATTCTTGGAGCGAAATTTTTATGTACTTGCATTC